GTCCTTATACTACTAAATTATAAGTCGGATACTGTTTAAAAAGGATAAGTTCTTTACAATATGACAACACCGATTAGAAGCGAGGGAGCCTATTCATTCATTTATTACCTTGTAGTACGCGTCGCACGTGTGCGGTAAAGCTTTGTTGCCGCTATATCCCCGGCTGTATTAACGCATTTTCTTAGCTTGTAGTCTTTAATTGTTTATTTTATTGACTTTTTCTGTTCAAGAACTATAAAATATGGTTCGTCAGTGCCAAATTTGCAAGAAATTTGACTTAAATAATCCATTTAAGTCTTGAAACAACTTTCGACCGGTAGGCAACTCTCAATTTACCCATTGGGAGTCAGTGGCGTTGTTGTAGAAAGGCGCTTATTTAGATAATATTTTAGTAAAATGTAAAATCTGAATTTTTTCTCTTATATTACATTATTTACTTACTTACATTGTAACAAAATCATAATTATAACCCTGTTAATAATTAATAATGTTTTTATTAAAAATATATTCCGGTTTATTCTAAAATTATCTTCAGAATCTAAAATAACATACAAGAATTTTAATATGATATTACATTATGAGACAATATTTTTTAATATACCGGGTCGTCTCAAAAGTGGTTCACCGCTATAACTTTTTTATTTTTTCAGATAAAAAAACAGATTTGTATGTTAGTAGGTATATGACATAAATTAGGATTTATTGACGTATTCAATTGTTTTTGGTCTCTTTCTGTTTCACCGAAATGATTACATCTTTTGATTTTTAAAGGCACCCTCGGTATATTTCTACTTTATTCGATAGAAAATGATAATAGAATTCTGAATAGAATGACATATCATATGTCAACTTTTGACATTGTCGCTTAAAAACAAATCGTATTATAAATTTCAATCCAGGGTGCCATGGTGTTGTTAAAAACACTAAGTTTTAATCAAGGAGCCTTGGAAAAATAGTTTTGATCGTCTAATGGGTTTCGTGTCTTGTCTAGGCCGATTAAAAGATGTACAAATCATATTTTTAATCATACATATGTCAATTTTTTCAAATGGAACAAGGGTGACTCGTTAGCATATTTGGAAAAAGCATTTTTTTATGAATATATTGATACCACACACTTGGTATTTCGAGTCAAATTGTCGTTATGAACCACGTGTTACAATTACAATTAAACCATATGCGAAAGTGTCAAAAGTTGACATATGATATGTCATTCTATTCAGAGTGTCATTTTCTATCAAATAAAGTAGAAATATACCGAGGGTGCCGTTTAAAAATTAAAAGTTATAGTCATTTCCGGTGAAACAGAAAGTGACCAAAAACAATTGAATACGTCAATCAATCCTAATTTATGTCATATACTAACATACTAAATCTTGTTTTTTTATTTGAAAATATAAAAAAATTATGGGGTTGAGCCACTTTTGGGACGTACCCGGTATAATAAAGACAGTACCGAGTTAAATAAATGTAGTTTTCATTTTATCCACTTCCTATCACCTTCCTTGCTTTAATGGAACAGATTTATGTTTTCTCTAATTTACATAATAAGACATCACTTAACCAGAAAAAAAATTACAACAATCATATATTTTTTTTTCTCTCCCTGTCGCCGATTCTATTATATCTGTGGAATAGATTTTTTGATTAATATTAGGGGTTGTAAATGTATAACTAAAATTAATAATTTATTATTAATTTCGAAAATTACGTAATTTCGATTATAAAATTTCTTCTATAACGTGTATTTTATTATTTTTATCCTTTTTGGACTCTAAGACGTTTTTTCTAAACTTTTATTTAAAAAAACCTGTCCTAAATCTTAATAAAATATAAAAAAGTTTAAATACGATATATTTTTAATTTAATTATAGCTTCATTAAAATAAAAAAATTACCCGGGTATGATAAATTTTTAATTTAATTATAGCTTCATTAAAATAAAAAAAAATACCCGGCTATGATACGGAGAGTTCAGGTGTACTTGAGAAACGAAAGACAGTGTTGTGTTTTTCGTCAGAGTCGTCCGGGAACGACCGTTACGACAGAGACAACCTGTCTATCGCTCGTGTCGCACTCGTTATAACCTAAAACAATAACACAACAATAACAAGACATTGTCTGACCGCATGTTCCAGCTATTTATGAATGAGATGCTCAGTCTATATTTTATTTTAAGTCTATGGTTATAATTAATTTTAATTAACGTCATATTTTTTGATGTTAAAATATCACATTTTCCGATAACTATTATCACCCTTTCCGTAACATTGAACTAAATAAATTTTGTGCTTCTTTAACATTTTCAAAAGCATATAACTTTAATTAAAATGCTGTCAATAATAATGTATCAAAAAATAGAACGAAATTATATTACCATAGAAAGGCGCTTTATTTTTACTAGTTCAAAAATTCAACTACATTTTCATGTTTTTTTATTTTTTCTCTAAAACGGTATGGAAATTTGGAAAAGTATAAACAGGAATTACCATTTTAGAACAACCAAAAATTTTTATGAAGACAATCCGCGGACATAGTGTAGATATAAATATTTTATTCATCGGCAGTGCCGTTTTTACGTAGGGACCCGACGCGGCGGGCCCCGACCAAAGGATTAAGGGCCCCAGCTCCAAACAGGCTTCAAAAACGATAACATCATTTTTTTAAAAGCTTATAATAATACATTTAAATTGAAAAACAAATGAAATTTGCCGTAATAAAGCAATCCCCGAGCGAATGTTACCATATATATTAATGACAATTTATGATGACAAAATGATGGGAATACCGGTTCCACATATAAGCCGCGTTACTGTCGCTACCGTTCCAGGTAAATAGGGGCCCTTTAAAAATTATTTATTATTATATTATTTATTTATTATTATTTTATTTTTAAATTATTTAAAAGGGGCCCCTTACAAAATCGCGGTATATATAGGTCAAAGAATAACTAATAATTATTCCAATATAAAAAATAATAATTATTCGATATTCTAAACAAAGAAAATTACCCCTTGATTTAATTTCGTAAATAGAAAAATGCCATTGACAATTACTGGGGCCTAATAATTGATAATTAAGTAAATATCTGCTTCCATTTATACTGTGTATAGTTAGCGTATACTTATGGTTTGCATACTCTAACTACAAATTGCTTTATAACTACTGAACACATATAGGCCTTGTTTGAAAGTTGAACAAAAAATTACTTATTAAGATTTGGAGGCCCCCTAGAAGAAGGGGCCCGGGGCGGACCCCCCGCCCCCCCTCCGCCCACAGGTGAGTGCCTCCCCTTCTCGGGGGTGAAAAATAGATCACCCATTTTAGTTACAAAATTCAATAGGGATGAATTCTAAGCAAAAAATATTCTATAACATTTTTTCAGAAAATCAATATTTTCCGAGTTATTTAGGATTGAAAATATTGGTTTTTCATCTAAAAACTGCATATTTTTCTGCAATTTTTTATAAATAACTCGAAAATCTTGCGTTTTATCGCAAAACTCAAAAGCAAAAATGAAGCTTTTGGAATAACGAATCGATTCATTTTTTGTTGTTTACCATAGGTGTAATAATAGCCGAGTTATCACTCTGTAAACTTGATTCTTTATTATAGATATTTTATAAAAATAAAAAATCACGTTTACATAATGATAACTCGGCTATTATTACACCTACGGTAATCATCAAAAAATGTTATTATATATATAAGTTATTCCAAAAGCTTCATTTTTGCTTTAGATGGGTTTTGCGATAAAACGTAAGAAGAACATTTCAAGAGTGTTTCTTATTCATGTTTTAAAATTACAAGAGCATAAGCAAACAACTTCGTTGATTTCTAATTAGATGATAAGTTTGGATTATCAGATACGATAAAATAAAACATACCTGAAAATACGAAATAGTGGTCGAAAAAAAATCTCCGAGGCCTTTTTTTCGATCGTATGATATAATGAAAGGTTATATAGCTGAAAAAGAAATAGACATTGTATGTCAATCAAATATAGATCTAATAAGATGCTATCAGTTCATGCCACTCCTCTGATGTGTTGCATACATCAATTATTGATGGCTTACTAAGATACAAAGTGATTCTAATTGAATTCGAGAAACTTCGGCAATATATTCTACAGGTAAAAATAAGTAAAAAAGTTCGTATAAACTTATGTCCTAAAATACTTACAGCGCTTTCAGACGGAGCAGACTTATTTCAAGATAGCTCATCCGGACGGAGCATACGCGACCCATGTGAAATTGTTCATATTATAAGCTCATGGTACTTGCCCAAAGTTGCGGACGGTCTGCTCCATTTGAAAGCGCTGTTAGTTTCGGAGACACAGGGTGTAGAAATTTTTATTTATATTTAGATTGTTTCCAAGTAATTCCTGTACTAATGTCAATATTTCACTGAAAATTGAAGTCCTAGATGTTTTTTAACTGTTCTGAAGAGTAATAACTTTTCATCCGTATCTGTATTACACTACTGAGAGAAAAAATCTACATTTTCGATATTTTTTTACCTTAAAAACGTCTCTTGGTAAAAATCGCTACGAGCAACCGTTCTCAAGATATTTAGAATAGAAATAATCGATACATGTCATTTTCTGTCAAATAAAGTGGAAATATACCGAAGGTGCCATTTAAAAATCAAAAGTTGTAGTCATATCCGGTGAAACAGGAAGTGACCAAAAACAATTGAATACGCCAATCAATCCTAATTTATGTCATATACTAACATACCAAATCTCGTTTCTTTATTTGAAAAAATAAAAAAGTTATAGAGGGGAGCCACTTTTGAGACGCACCCGGTATAGGGCAGAAATTCACACCTTAAAATGCCTAGTGGTACTTTTCTTATGAATTATATTTTGAGTTTCAAATTTATTAGATAAAAAGCAATCAAATGATGGGCTGTGCAACAATTTATTTATTTTATTTATAGTTTTTAACACTTATCTTTAAGTGATTAGATACTCACGGGTACAAATATGTTGCTTTTTTAATCGAGTACCTTATACACTTTTCTTATTAAACAGTTTATGAAATCGAATCAGAATGTTCCAAATATCCTTCATTTTTGTTATTACTTTAACTACAGTTTTATCTTCAAAATTGCCCGAAAACTTTCTAGCTTTGGGTGAAAATTACGTATATTCAGTGGCACTGGTAAAGATAGGTATGGGTTATAGTGTAAATTATACATATTTTCTTATAATTTTAGCTTGATTTTTTTCAATCCTATGCGGCTTGTAAAAGATTCGGTTGGACATTGGCAACTGAGAAAAATGAACGCGAAACAACCATTCTTGCTCAAGAAATAAAAGCTAATGGACTTGAGGACACCGGTAGGTTATCTTTATCGACAAAAAATTGAAAAATTGCATTTTTATATTTTTGCTAAAATTACATAATTTAAAGTAGCCCCAACAGGGTTAAGCAAGGCGCAACTTTTGTTTAATATAATCATCTCCTCTTGTTTATTGAAGCCCTGTGGTACACTGTAAAACACGTATGTAATAATATCACATCTTAATACTAATCGTGATATTTAATATTAACAACTTAAGATATGCAATATTTTTTTACGTATACTGTTGTGAAAAAATATAATTAAGATGTGGACTATGCCGCGACCGCACATGCGGCATTTGGCGATTTCTGAGCACTCGTCGCCGATATCTGATTAGGACACGAATTCTGGAACTTCGACATAAAAACGTTACTAGTACGTTGATATTAGTATATTTAGAAAAAAAAATTATAAAGTTTTGATATGTTGAGGTTATAAGTACTAAAAGGAGACTTTTTAAAATCAAAAGAGTTCCTAACTGTAAAGTGTGAGCTTCACCCCCAAAAACGACCCCCCAATACGCACTGCGGTGGTTTTTCTCGTTTTTCTCGAAAACCATTAGTCCAATGGTAACAAAATTGGTATATTTTTTTGAGTAATTTAAGTGATATATTATTGTAAAATTTGCTATCTTTAATTTTCAATAGATATAAAAATTTATTTGCCATTGCTGAAGCATTCGAGTCGTGACATTGTTTTTGATAGCAATTCCCTTATTGGTCGAACAGAAAGGCAAATTCCTAGGCAATATTAAAAATAAAGAACGACTAATTTCGCAGCTTGCAATACACCTAAACAGAGAATATTAGCACATCATTTGCAATAGATGATGCTGATGTTCAAATTATTCGTACACTGCCATCAAAATATCTAAGAAAAATGAACAAGTTTTAGTCGTTGGACAAGATGTCGATCTTTTTGTTTTATTAGCAGCACTTTCCCCCGATGAAAAAGACATTCTTTTTCTGAAAGAAGCCATAGGTAATGTGAAACAACGAATGTATAGTTTGAGAGACTTGCAATCATCCAGTATTAAACGTAATCTAAAAAAATCAATTTTATTTATTCACGCTATTAGCGGGTGTGACACAACATCAGGATTTTTTGGAGAACGAAAACAACACAAAAAGACCTTGATAGTATCGTCGATATTTTTAACAACGCAAAGTCAACACCTGAAGAAATTGAAAAAGCTGGTTTATACTGAAACTATACAAACTTCAATCATCTGAAGGGAGCCTTAGTGAGCAAATATACGCTTGTTTCAATAAGTTAGTTGGTCAAGCAAACAGCACGGCACTTTTATCAAAATTGCCTTCCACATCTGCTGCTGCTAGGCAACATTCCCGGAGAACATATATTCAAGTACAAATATGGCAAGAACAACCTATAAAACCCGACCAGTGGGGCTGGAAGAAAATCAACAACACCCTATCACCTTTATGTACAACAGAATCGCCCGCCCCTGCTTCAATTATGTCATTAATAACGTGCAACTGCAAACAAGATTGTGTAAAAAAATGCAGTTGCATTAAAGCCGGCATGAAATGTACAACTATGTGCGGAACCTGTCGTGGGCAAAGTTGTTCGAATACTGAACACATTCTAGAAACTATAGACGATGACAATATGTAGATGAAAGTATGAATGTTAGTTTAGTGGAATAGGCAATGTTTTTGTTTATATTATACAGTATTATATCTGTTGCGTGTATATTTAGCACGTTAAATACCTTGGGAGACCAACTATGCCTCTCCTTGGCACTCATCAACACCAATACATGCCTGTTGCCTTATGTTATTGCATAATGTACTTATAAGTATTAATTGTTCTCTATGTGTGCTCTATGTGTTACACTAATAGTTTCGTTAATACTTTATATTTCTTATATTTTTTTGTATTTTTCATTGTTTTTTTTTTGCTATTATATTTATACATTTGATATATTAATTTAAGATAAGATAGTAGATATTGATATTATTTGTTAGGTTACACTGTAATGGTACTCGGTTAACTAAGCAGTTATTTACTGAACTTCGCCGAGGATTATTAAAAAAAAGACATATTATTATTATTATTATTATAATTTGAAAGGCGACCTGTATTTTTTTTGTACTCCATTTTTCAAACGGTTATTGCTCGAAATGCATTGGATAAATATAAATAATGAATAGAACCTTTTTGTAGCAAATTTTATAAGGAATATTAATAGTATAATTTTTTTTGTGGGACCAACGCGTTCTGAGAAAAAAGCGAAAAACCATCGAAGGGCGTATTAGGGGGTGGTTTTTAGGGGTGAAGCTCACACTTTAAAGTTAAGAACTATTTTGATTTTGAAAAGTCTCCTTTTGGTGCGTCTAATCTCAACCTATCAAAAGTTTATAAATGTTTTCTTCTATTGGGCTATTTTAGGTCTAATATAAATATACTATACGTAACGTTTAGCGGGACGCCGAGCAGTCGATTTTGGTATTCTCGTGGCCGTTCGAATCGTTTTCTTGATACGCGTTGAGCACATATTGGTATCATCACAATTTCTAATGTAGCCAATAGTCAAAAGTTGATAACTGATGGATGTAACAATGAAAAATGTCAATGTTACGTGAATTTCATAACCTATTGTTGAATTATGTCAACCTAATTTTTTATGGATACGTCATTATTCTTATTATACGAGGAAAATGTAGAAAACGCTTTTTCGATGTTTTGGATTATATTGTTACCTATAATAAAACTATAAATATATATTTGGATTATATTGTTATTATAATAATATAATATAAATATTATATTATTATTGGCAATATTTATAGAAGAAGTAGTTTTCACTAAAGAGCAAGAGAATGCACAAAAACGTTGTGATTTTTCTAAGTATACTGACAGTTTGACAAGCAAAACTATCCTTTAAGGTAGCCGTTTTCAAATTACTTAGCGCAATGGGTAAATACGCTAAGCGCGTCAGATGAGATTACCGAAATTGGTAGTTAAGTGCACGCTAAGCGAAAATTAACGTCATATATGCTGAGCGTCTAAACGAGCTTAGCGTTTTCCAAGTTACAAAATTCGGGCCCAGTGTAGACGGGAAAGTTGGAATTCGGCGACGAGAATGAGCGCTCGTCTATACTATGCTGGCAAGCAAAACTTTGGGTCGGCGTTTACATGTAGAGGTGTGAATCGTTATGGCAATCTAGTAAGTCGGAGAGAGCAAAAATACGAAGTATTTATTACATAATCACTTGATCTGACGCCAGATTCCATGCGCTTGGGAAAATACTTGTCTTCTGTCTTTATTCAGTACATCTTATTTTACTAAGCGTGTTTACCGTACTCTTCGTGCACACGAAAATCGGCACCCAAGACCAGAAATGCCGACCCTAGTATGTTGTTGATGGACACTTTCTATGAAAGCTCGACGATGCCCGCATGTTGGACGGAAAGGCGAAGTCTGATGACGAGCGCTCGGTAGTTGACGAGAATAGGTAGGAATAGAATAGTAATAATAGGAATAGAATAGAGAGTTTAAAGAATATTTCCCGTGGTGGCCGGTAGCTAGCCGGCGCACAGTGGGGTATTTGACACTGATAGTTGATCGAAATTTTTTTATGTAGACCTTATATAAATTATTGCTATTTTCAATTAAAGAGGAAATACTATGAACAAAATAAAGGATAATTCGTCGATTCTAAAAAAAGAAAGAAAAATCACTATTCCAGTGTTTCCAGTAGTAATCAGCCTAGTAGCAGTCAGTGCCAGTAGTAATATCGCAACTACTACTACTAATGCTACGACTGATCCGCGAGCAATGCCCATAGCACTAAAGTCGCTACTAATGCCAAATTGTGCTATACTGCTAATGGCACTAATGCGATCGCTTTGTACACAACAATGCCATCGCGGTTTACACCTCGCATTAGTATATCACTGATTGGCAAATTAGAGGAAACCAAGAATGTTTTTCTCATTTTATCAGCAAAATCGCAAAAAGTCGCAGTATTTTATTTTACTGTGTGAAAGCCCAATGTTTACTAAGTAAAACGTATATAGACAATATGCTGAATTCTTCGAAATGCGTAACTAAATCTCTAAGTATAATAAAAATGTCACAAATTTAATCAAATTTTCTGAACGCCTAACTTTTAGTTGCAAAAAAAATCGTTAGCATAGAGAATATCAAAATAAATAATACGTTTTTGCAGAATACATACCTGCAGCTTGCTGAGCCATTTTCAATCAAAACGATAATATAAATAGAGAAAGAGCACAAGAACAACAACAATTTATAATTTTAAACATAAAATTTAGCCATTTACCTCTTATCTGTGAGAAGTAACAACTTTGACGTTTCGTTGAAACAAATGAATGCAACTAAACACAGCCATAGCAACGCCATTCATGGCAGAGATGATTTAACTTATCATTTATCTTTTTTTGGGAAATCTTAAACACATTTGCTTTTTCGAATTTCGATCACCTTTTTCATGCTAATACCCCACCGTGAGGCGGCGGCGCCGGCGCCGCGCTTGTGTCTCGACGTGACAGTGGCGGGACGTTATAATGAGAATCGCGCCTTAACCTGCTAATTCCATTTTTGATTTTAATTAAATAATACGTTTAATAAGTAAATTTTTAACGAAATATTGAGTTTTATTGTTTTCCAACAAATATTATTGTTATCTCTTTAACATGAACATACTTGCTACATGTGTACATATTTTTTGTGCCGTTTCGTTTATCTCCTCTAAAATCTAATAATGGAGTTAGCAGTTAACACATTTCACGGACGCTATTCTTTCTAATAATTGTTACGTTGATATACAAGTCAATATATTACAAATGATATTTATGATAATTTTATATAAATATTTTTTACTGTGATACCTTTTCTTATATGAAACATCGTGTATATGTTACAGTGAAGGCCGGAAATTCAATAAATGCTAAGAATTACGCACTGGACCAGTGTATGTCATATTCTAAAGAAATTTGTCAACATTGAATCATCTTAAGATTACAAGAAAACGATAACAAAACAGAAGCACCAAAGTCAAAATATTTGCCTTTATACTTTAACCTCAAAAAGCATAAAGCGTTTTGCTGCTATATCTAGTAACTGACTGTTAATCGACACGAAGTTGAACAAATAAATTTTGATTGCCTTGTTTTGATTTTAAAATTGAATATCTCTTGTTTCAAAATTAGTTATTGAACTTTTACTGCCGTAGTGTATGTAGCAAATCATGAATGTGGGCGTTTACTAGTAATTATTAATCTTCACTAATTTTCGACTTTTACTGTAACATAAAAATACTGTAATATATATTTTTTTGTTTTGCTAAAACATTTTTTTTTGGTAAATCTTATACATAGAGGTCAATTTTTTCTTTCAGTTCATTGGCTAGGTGGTTTTTACCAAATCGACAAAGAATTCATACCACGCTGGATGTGGCTAGAAACAGGTGAATCCTTTAACTACACTCACTGGTACGGAGAATCTCAGACTACCACATCATCGCCGGGCTATAAGGCCATGTCAACACACCCTGGTAAAGCTACCGCAAGTTCCAATTTATGTCTGGAAAAATACGGTTTCAAGGTTCACGATGGACAATGGGTTGCCACGAATTGCGAAAAGGAACTTTATTTCATCTGTCAAATATCCTGAGATAGACGTTTATAAATCAATACATCTGCGGACAGTTGCGGATATAGAGGGGGTGCCATGGAGACCAGCCTCCTCTAAGATCTATAAGTTAAATATTATTCTTTTGGGTTAAAAATGGCGCCCTAAAAAGCATATTATATACCCACCTTAAAATATATTCTTGTATCGCCCCTGTCTGCAGATACGTGATGATATGAATAAAAGCTAACAAAACGAGTCTTTTGTTTTTTCCATCTTTAAAACATATTACGTATAAGAAAATCAATAATAGTTGGTGTGCACATCATCTAAATATTTGACAAATGCACATCACTAGAGATGGGCAAAACTGGTCTTCGTCTTGCACAGAATGTCCAAGACAGACTAGTGCAAGATTTTCGCAAGACCAAGCATGCAAGACTATTGCGGTCTTGCATTTTTTTATATGATGTAAAAATTACTTCTTTGTTCAAAATTATTGTTTTAATTTAATACAAATAGGGCATTCCAGATTATTGCATAAAATTCTAAAGAAAAAAATGCTGATTGAATAAATATATTGAAAAATATAAATTTTCATCAGACAAATATTGCAGTAATTTCTTTCTTTAAAATTTTATTAAATTACAAAAAATACTATTTATTTAAATATTCTATGTAGAAGTGCATCTAGTAAAAATCTATTAAAAAATGCAAATCTTGTAAGAGTCTTGCGCAAGACCAAAACCAAAAGAGTCTTTTGGATTTGGTTTTGCATTTGTTCATCACTACACGTCGCAATAATACCACGGCTACTTTTTTTACTTCGACTTTTGAAGTGTCACATAAAATTCTTAATTTTGACACCGATATTTCACTTCCCCCAATTTTAGACTCAATACAAAAAAAAAACTACGGAATACTACTAAAGTAAAGGCGCACTCTCACGACTCGTCTACTCGGCAAGTACGCCATTACTGATGGCTCACACGACGTGTTCATTTCAACTAGACGCCAGCACAAACATTGTTTAAATTCTTGGCAAGTAAACAGTATAGTCGCATAGATGAATATCGGTCGTCCCGAAATTGTCGTTGCTAGTGATTCTCTTATCTTTTTAAGTTATTTTACTGTACACTGCAATATGATTTTTATGTTCCCTATGTTTGGCCATCCATATGAAGGGCTCATTTTCGTATAAATTCATAAATTCCAAAACAGCATCATTTGAAGACTACACCTTTCCATACTTTTTATTGCCCCTGTTGTAAACTCCTTAAACCCACTCCCATAGCAAATAACTTTCATTACACGGGAGTTAAACGATGATTAGTTTTTAGAAACTCTTGAAAAAGGCTTAACAAGCTCATTAAACTTGAAACATCTAACAGCGTGTTTTATTGAATTGCTAATATTTATTTAGAAAGTCTTTAAATTAAACCGAATCGATACAACTGATCGAGTTTCTGGTGAAGAATTAAAAGGCGAAACAATCGTGAATCGTCGGAAGTTGATCCGTTAACGAGCTAAGTTCGAGCCGGAACAGTGACACCGGCCCTAGCGACCCTCTCCTTAATTAGGGTGCGACGCGACGGACCGGCCACAGTAAGAAACTACCCAAGTCGTAGTCTAACTAGTTAAAAGTTTAATTTTAACTTAAACTCGATCAGCACAACTTTACCGTTTCCTCGGAAAAGTTGTTTTGTTCGTTGTCGTGGCGAAGACGGCACAGGAATTTTCAAATAGAAGTCAGGTAACACAGAGCCTGCTGTCTGTTTTTTTTTCTTGTCTGTATAAAATAGTATTTATAGTCTGTCCAACGACAAGATCCTTGACAGTGATAGATGTGTCTGTCAGTTTATTTTCAAAGTAGTTTATATTATTTTTTTTTCATAAGTTGCTACAATTGGAACGCATAGCAGAAAATTAATATATTTAAAATTTTAGTTACAAGTGATACTTCAAAATACTGTGAAAAAACTGTATAAAATTGAGAAAATCTAATAGAGTTATTTTATTAAAAATAATTACAGTATGTGTTAGTACAAAACAAGCAAGGGTGTATTTTAAAAAACACCACATAACAAAAAAATATATAAACAAGATTTCCTGCTTTCAAGCCGTGTTTCAAGCTCAAGCAACTTCCTGCATTTATTGTTACATGTATAAATATAATTATTCAATATGATTATTATTTACCTATCGTGTGCTGCTATTTTACAGATACTCCAGTTTTTGGTATCATATACAAGATAGTATACAAACTTTATTTGTGGTTAATACAACTCTCTCGCCATAATCTCTGGCAAACTGTCTCTGGGCACCGAATATTAACTGTAAGCTATGATCTGGGTGAACACTTAATTTTCCCTTTGAGTTTTCCTCCACTTAATTTAAAAAAAACACGAAACACACATAATAACACAGTCCAAAATGCAAATGCAAAATATTTATCATTTCTATTTGACATAATTTGACACAAAATTATAACCTATAATTTAGCAAGAGTTTGACAACTCTCAAAGATCTTAAGTCGAGTCACAGCCATCTATATTGTCTAACGACAAGCCGTGAAGTACGCAATCCGGCAACATGTTGTTTAGTCCGCTGGTTACGAATTCTGTGGTTAGATTCTTATCGATTTTCCCCAAATTACGAGGTGTAAACAAGTAAAAACCACGTAAAAACTCGAGGTGAGTTGGTTGAATAATTCAAACATTTTGTATTCTGTAATCTTGCTTCATAAAAAGTGTTCGTTATTCATATTTGATAAAAATATGATTAATTTTAAATGCCTAGACATTGCTGCGTTCCTGGCTGTACCTCAAATTATGCCAGTGCTTTGAAACATGAAGGAATGAAAACCACATTTTCTTTTCCAAAAGAGCAACATATTCGACATGAATGGATCCGGTCAATCCATAGGGACAATTTTAAATTCTCCAATAGTTCTGTAGTTTGCGAGAAACATTTTGAAAAATCCGAGATAATAAGAGTTGAAACCTATAAAAATAAAGAAGGGGTTTTGGGCGAATTCCCACTCAAAAGGCCAAGATTATGTGAATGTGCAGTGCCGCACATTTTTCCTAATCAACCCAAATACTTGTCAAAACCTCTAACAACTTCTCGAGCTGACCCTGAAACAAGAAGGAAGAGAAATTTAGGAAAATATCAACAGGAAACAGAAAATTTCTTGAAAAGTGACAAAATAAATACTTTTGATGAATTTCTTGAAACTTTTGAGTCAAAAGTGTGTTTGGGACTGTGGAATTTTAAAGTTAAGGATGGGAAAGTTTATTTTTTTCTGCTGAATGTGTGTATTGATGACTTAGACAGTGAAGATAGTGTTAATGTTGTGTCGAGTATCGTTATTGACAGTACATTTACTGTACAAGTGTTTATAGGAAACTGTGTACTAACAGTATGTGAGCTGAGATGGATTCTACCTGAGGACAAGAAACTGAGCCGATGGTCACAATTGGACAATCTACTTGCTAGATACAGGTTTTCACCTGGAAAACAAACCAACCGAAAGAATGTGAGTACTATGTAGACAAAGTATACGCAAATGTTCAAAAAGCTATAAATTTGTATCAGGATTCTGAAAATTTAAGTATTCTACAGTTGATTTCACTTTTAAAATATTGTACCTACTTATAGTAAATTATCGTTTTTTATAAAATCAATAATTACCGATTCACAATAGTCATTAACACCACTAAATATACTATTTATTTTCGCCTAGGTATTAAATACAAAATTCCAAGGTGATTCACCCCTCGTAGGTTAGGTACTTACGTACCTAAATTGTTGTAATGTACTAGGTAGATAATAGTTATTTTAAGTATTTTGTATCCAGTAATAATAATTTATTATTGGAATATGTATATAATAAAAATAAAATATGTTTTTTTGTAATTCTTGTGTGGTCTCTTTTTTATTCATTTCTCCTATAACAATCTATTTAAAAACTATTTTTATCAAAGCTATCTGTGGAAACCGTTTTGTGTAGTTTTTTTTTTCTTTCAAAGCCAAACCGCTTTCCGCTTTGTTTAGTAAACTTTATTTTCTCATATTTTGTCGATCGCCACCATGAAACATGAAAACAAAAGTTAGGTTAAGTTATCCCGGACCACTTAAATTGAAATATGCGACGTTGCCTTTTTAACTTCACGGCTTGTCGTTAGATGGCTTTGGTCGAGTTCATACGCATCGGCGCGGCGTCCGTTTCTCTTTCATCGTTTCGTTAAACCAATAATATTGAAATATGATCTGTAATTTTTGAAATAAACAAATAAGACTAGTTAAAAACAACAAGAGATAACGCCATGACGGATTTATATATAATACATCCATAGGTAACTTAAAAAATATTATAAACTTTTTTTTAGTTAAATAAATGGATTGGTATGGACGTCATCTGCATTTTATCTGTCGTCGTCTGTCGAAATCTTACCTGAGAAAAAAACAGAGTTTAGGTAATTATAACTGGAAAGAAAATGTTAATATTACGAATAAAGTGATTACAGATTAACTTTATTTAGATTAGGCGAAAAAAATAAAGTCCTCCTACACTGAGTACCAGTCCACCAAGGGATAGAAGGTAGGAAAAAAGGAAACTATCTAGCTAGGAAAGAAGCGGACCAGACAGATTGGACCAGAACCGTTCTGCTTCCCAAGTGGAAACCAACTTAAAGCGGAACTCAAAAACCTGGAATACTCCATACGTAACCTATATCCCCAACGGCCTAAGACACTCGAAGAAATTTAAACAAGAACAATCTTCCGATTGTTACAGGATTTTTAACAGGACAGTGTCTCCTCAACAAACAGCTCAGTAGATTGAAGCTAATGAACAACGGCGAATGGAGATTCTGTGGGGAAAATGGGAAAACACCAGAACACCTCATCACTGAGTGCGCTGGGATAAAAACCATTCGTGCCATACACTTAGGTACCAGTCATATCGGAGATGGAGAACTCTCTAAAATCGTCTCAAATATTGATTTTTGCCAAAGTCCTGAGACTGTATGATGAGTTATAGCTCAAGAAAGGAGAGGACTCAATAGATCTGTAAGGTAATTCACTTCTCCAATCCCATACAATTTACAACCTACAACTTTATTTTTAGTCTTTTTTTTTCTTTTATAAAACCTCTAGTGTATATTCAATTTTTTAGCATCGTCGAGGTGGCTTAGAAATGACGATCGAGGACATTCGCCATATACATATATGAACAGTCACTATGGACCATCTTTT